CCTCCTCCTCCTCCTCCTCCTCCTCCTCCTCCTCCCTCTCCTATATATATATATGGTAGTGATGGTGGAAAACGGGCCCATCATCTGCCCCTCGATGGCGGAGGGCTGGGGGATGGCGGGGCGCCTGCGCGGCCCCGTGGAGCGCGGGCAGCGCGAGCCAGGCCATCCGCCGCAGCAGCGCACGCGGCTCGGCCGCCAGGCCTCTGGCACTGGACGGGGCCCAGCAGGGGGGGCGCAGACACCCTACGTATCAACACTGATCCCAGCTCGGTCTTCGGCTCGCACTCGTAGCAGACTTGGCATAGAATGACGATACTACCCCAGCAAAGCACCCCAAAACGCCACCCTGCCTCTGGCACGTAGTGGAGTGCCCCAAGGCTCACAGCTGCGCTGCTGCCGCAGCCAGGAGCTTGTTTTTCTTAGACTCTAGCAAGTTTACTTGCATGGGCGGGGGGGGGCCTGAACCTGAAGTAAGCCGCAAACGATTTTACGTGCTGAAATCACGCAAGTCGAAAGGCACTTGCACGCTCGTATTCGATAGAAGAGGGGCGATGGGTGGGGTGTGTTGGGGGGGGGGGGGGGGGGGGGCGAACGCCATGCAAGTAGACTTGCCCGAGTCCAAAGAAAAACAGGCTCCAGGATTACTGCAGCCAGGATTGCAAGTTCTGAAGGGCCCGGACCGCGGGTGTCCTGGGTCTTTCCGGGGTGGCCACTGTGAGTCTGAGGTGTTTACTGCGGGTCCTCTGGACGCTGTACCCGCCCACAGCGGGCCAACAAATCTCCGAGAAGCCACCCAAAGAGTATCCAAAAGGCCCCAGAAATCCCCCAAGAGTTTTCAAGACGCCCACGATGGCCTCAAGACGGCCCAAGAGGCGTCCAAGATTATTCCCAAGCGGGCACCCAAAGACAAAATTTACTAATGTTCTGTAGGTTTCCAGAAAGAGTTCCGGAGTTCCGCCTTTTCGGGCTCCCGACGGTCTCAGACAGCCCAAGAGGCCCCCAAGATCGCTCCAAGACGGCCAAAGAGGCCCCCGAGAGGATGCCGAGACGGCCCAAGAGGCCCCCAAGAGGCACAAGAGGCTCCCAAGACGCCCCACGAGGCCTCAGAGGGGACTTAGCAAGGGAACGCGAACCGCCAATTCGAGATCTCCGCCCCCAGAGGTCCCCAAGAGGCCCCGAGATGCTTCAAAAATCCCCAAATCGGCCCCAAGAGGCCCCCAAGAGACCCACAGAAAACCCTAAGGGGCCCCCAAAAGTACCTCCACGGAAATCCAACTCTTCGAAATCCCAAAGGGAAACTTAGATGTGCATTACACTCGCCTTTTAGGCCGTCACAGCGTCCACGACGGCCCAAAGATCGGCCTAAAAGACACCAGGAGAGCCTGACGACAACATAAGAAAGCCTCCAGACGGCCCAACACGTGCACAAGACGGACTCAAGAGGGGCCCACGGGAGGCAACCTGAGCCGAGAGTTCGAACGTTCGTGGCGATCACCATCAGAAAACAACATCGGAGAAGAGGGGGAGGAGGAGGAGGAGGAGAAGCATGAGGAGGGAGGAGGAGAAGGGAGGAGAAGGGAGAGGGGAGAATGGAGGAGGAGGAACAGGAGGAGGAGGAGGAGGAACAGGAGGAGGAGGAGGAGGAGGACGAAGGAAGGAAGGAAGGAAGGAGGAGGAAGAGAACCCAGGCTGATGCCGCGGGCGGAGCGCCCCAGTGGTTCGTCCACGAGGGAGAGAGAGAGAGAGAGACAGAGACAGAGACAGAGAGACAGAGACAGAGACAGAGACAGAGACAGAGACAGAGACAGAGACGGAGAGAGCACAGGGGACCGGGCAGAAGGAGCAGGAGGAACTGTGGGGAAGGTGAGGGCGCGGTGGCACCGCCCGCGCGCCTGGACATTCCGCCCGCTCGACCGCGAGCGCGTGCACCAGGCCGCACAGGGCCGCGTCGGACGCCTGCTGCACCCTCAGGGGGCAAGGCTCCCTCCAGCACATGGACATGATATTCGAACCCTGTGGCCCAAGATGCCCCCCAGAACCCCGAAATTAATATTGATGGCGTGGCGACGGGGGGGGCGTGAGTGGACAGAAATATTCGAACCCCAAAGCACCGCCTTTACTGAGATCAACATTGATGTCGGGGGCGCGGGGGTGATTTAGAATCTCCCTCAAATGTGTAAGGGTTCGAATATATTGTCCATATACGGTCCCACTCTGCATTCTTGCCCCCCAGACCCCAGACGTCATTTCGTAGCCGTCCACGGGACCCGTGTTTCGTCCTGAGTCGTTGTGTTGACGGGCCCGAGGCCCGGTACAGGCCCCCAGAGGCCCAACATGGCGAAAAATCTCCCGTCGCGGTTGTTTCATTACTCGAGGGGTCTGGGCCTGGACCATCACCGTAACCCAGCATGGCCGACATACGCCCCCCGAGATCCTTCAGCTCAGCGGATCTGGCCCCTGAGCGTCTCCATGGCGACTAGGGAGGCGAAGATTACTGAACCGATGGATTTCGGTGTGCCGGGACACCGACATCCATCAGTTCAGTGATCCTCGCCCCCCCCAGTCGCCATGGGGACGCTCAGGGGCCAGATCGCTGAGCTGAAGGATCTCGGGCTGCGCACGATATCGGGGATGGACAGACCCCCCTTTAGTAAAACTTGGTTTAGTGAAAACGACCCGAAGCCCAAACCTGGCGGGCGCAAGCCTGGAAAATGACGGCCACGGCGCCCTCTCGAGAACCGAAAACGGACAATTCACTAATCGACGTGTCACTGTTGGGGTTTCTGTCCGCCCCCGACGATATAATCACCACCCCCACGGCAACAACGGCCGCTCGCACACGCCCGCGCGTCATGCCACACGTGGCCCTCCCGCCCTGGATGCCCTTCGAGCGTGCCCCGCTGGGGCGCGTTCTTCCCCCGGTGGAAGCAGGGCCGAGCCTGACGGGCGGGCGGCGGGCGAGCCATGGCTCGCCGCGGGCAGCAGGGCCGAGCCTGGTGGGCCCTGATTGGTGGGCCTGCTTTCCACCACCACCACCACCACCACCACCACCACCACCACAAGTGGGGGGGGACGGGGTCCTCCTCCTCCTCCTCCTCCTCCTCCTCCTCCTCCTCCTCCTCCTCCTCCTCCTCCTCCACCTCCTTCCCCTCCAACATATGGTGGTGGTGGAAAACAGGCCCAGCACTGATAACTTGGGAGATCGGGGCAAGAGGGAGGAACGTCACTTTGGCGGTCGGTTCGAACAGGGCGGACCTGGACTTGGGCTGTCCTGCTCGAAGTTGTTCGGTTGGTTACCCACCAAACCAGCCCAACACGGGCCGACGTCGCCGTTGGGCCTGTCCATTTCCAGTCGGGGGGTTTTCGGAACAAGTAGAAACAACACACAATGTAAGCCGTACACCCCCAACCCGAAATTGGGCAGGATCAGGGACCTTCGGGTTGGGTTGGGGTGGTTTGGTGAATAGTGATGGGTTCCATCGAAGCTTGACATGGGGCATACCTTACCATAGTCACTCCGCGTCAACAAGCTTGCCACAGGAAGGACAAGGAAAGTGTGAAAAAAAGCTGCTACCGTACCTGTCAGCTTGTCATTAACAAATCCGTGGGGGCCGCGCGTCCAAACATTATCCCAATGCGACCCTACCTAGGAGTTGGAGCCTCTAGGAAAACAACATTAGTAGGAGCGGTAAACGCCGTCCTCCTCCTGCTATGCGATGCTATGCTATGCTATGCGATGCTCTGCTCTGCGATGCTATGCTATGCTATGATATGCTGTGCTATGTTTTGCTATGCTGCGCAATGCTATGCTGGGCTAGGCTAGGCTAGGCTAGGCGAGGCGAGGCGAGGCGACGCTATGATATGTTATGCTATGCTATGCTGCGCTATGCTATGCTGCGCTATGCTATGCTATGTTATGCGATGCTATTTTTTGCTATGATATGCTATGCTATGTTATGCTATGCCTTCGTGTTTGCCTTCACGTTTGCCTTTGCTTTTGCCTTTGCTTTTGCCTTTGCTTTTGCGTTTGCTTGGCACCCAGGGAGCGCAATTGGGGGAACCGCGCGTTTGCTTTTACCTTTGTTGTTGCTTTCGCTTGGCTCCCAGGGGGCCGGGGGAACCGCCCGGGGCGGTTTACACTGCCCGGGCCCTTTAAGCCAAGACAATAAGAACCCTCCTAGGCAGAGACTAGGTAGGGAAAAATGGTTCCCCTGCTCGGGCGAATCGCGGGGTGGCGCCCGCCAGATTGAAAAGCAACGACGGCGGCTCTGGTGATTAGCGCCGACGCCCAGCCGCCAGCCAGAAGGCGACAGACAGCACAGACTGGGGGAGGGGAAGGGGGCGGGAGGCAAAGGCGGCAGAAGCAGGGACCGTGAGCCAGGGCGACACCTCTTCGAAATGAAGAAAAACTGTTGTCGGCGCTCGCCCCCGCACTTTCCGTGCTCTTTCTGTCGAACCGATACGCTTCCTTTGCCCTGGCCGCAGCCCGGGGGGCGCCAGCTGCCTCGCGGGCCCACGAGCAAGGCGGGCTGGACGAAACGGGGGCGTGACCAAGCGGGGATCTGCCCAGCAGCTCACGTGGCTGATTTTCCGACCGCCCCGTGGCGCCGAAAGCGGCCATGCATCGAGGACTGGACCCTTGGCGGGGCGACCGAAACCAGCTACGCGCAGCGGGTTTCGCAACCCCTCCTGACATTCCCCAGCCTTTCGTCCGACACGAGCAAGGCAAGCTGCCCTCCTCCCCCAGCTGTCGTGGTATCTGTGGTCGTCAGGAACGACGACGACGACGACGACGACGACGACGACGACGACGACGACGACGACGACGACGACGGACGACGACGGACGACGACGACGACGACGACAGACGACGACGACGACGACGACGACGACGACGACGACGACGACGACGACGACAGACGACAGACAGACGACAGACAGACGACAGACAGACGACAGACAGACGACAGACAGACGACAGACAGACGACGACGACGACGAAGACGACGAAGACGAGGACGAGGACAAGAACAAGGACGAGGACGAGAACGGCGAACGGCGGACGGCAGACCACGACGACGGCGTACGACGACGCACTGCGGATGCCTTATAAGGGGGGGCTGCGCAGGCCTGCTGTAGTCGACAACGACAACGACGACGTCGACGACGACGACGACATCGACGACGACGACCACGACGACGACGACGACGACGAGCACGACGACGACGAAAAGACGACGACGACGACGACGACGACGAACGTCCATGACGACGACGACGACGACGACGACGACGACGACGACGACGACGACGACGACGACGACGACGACGGCGGCGGCGGCGACGGCGACGACGACGACGACGACGACGACGACGACGACGACGACGACGACGACGACGACGACGACGACGACGACGACGACTGAGAGGGGGAAAAAAACGCCTCGGATGTGTATGACCCCAACATCAATGTAAAGGCAATCGTCTTGAGGCTGTCATGCGGGGGGGTACACGATCCCCTCGGCGGCGCCCGCGACGACCCCCTGGACCTGGAGCGCGCGATTGACAAAAATGTGCCGCTCCCCGCGGGGTCTATTCATCAGCCCCTGGGGGGTGCGCATGTGCTAATCCATTTTAGCTCAAGCGATCGCATTTGTTTAGCTGCCCCCCCGGGCCTCCCCTTGCTAGACATAGATGAGAGCCATAGCTGCTGATGGCCCCTCCCTTGTGGCGGCGGCTGTGCAGGCGGCGATCCGGGAGCACGCGCCGAGGCGCACTGTTGCTGCTGTGGCTGCTGCGGTTGCGGGCACTGTGATGTCTGCGGCTGTGCGGCCCTCTGCGCCAGCGACTCTGCACAAGGAGCGAGTTCAGGATGCACAGGGCAAAGCTGAAGACTCCGATGATCCTGGTCAATTGTTGGAGAAACTTCGAGCTGTGCGTCGAGCCCAACGTTTACGAAAGAGGGAGAAACGCCAGACGGCCAAGCAGGCCATGATGGCCATAGATGGTCCAGCCTCTCCTCTTCCTCCTGATGGCCTTCAGCCTCGCGTTGAGGCCATTCCACATCTAGAAGGTGCAGCCGGCCTAAGCGCAGACGTCGGGAGAAATCTTGCTGCAGAGCCCGCTCTGGCACCTGCTCTACGTCCGGACCGCTCTCGTTCACCCCCGCATCCCGGACGTACCCCTTCTGATCAGCACGCCGCCGGTTCAGCTCCGCCTTCCGTGGCGGACACACACGACGAGCTGAGACAGCAGATGAGGCGAGTTCTTGCCACACTCTGGGGAGATCTCTTCAAGCGTCATCTGCTCCATACCCAGATCATTCCCAATCTCGGGCGGATCCCAAGGGCGCTTCGGCAGGGAAGCCGTCCTTTGGCCGTGGTGAAGGCGCTGGCGGTTCTAAAGCCAGTCAACCTGAGCCTTACACGGGACAGAGAAGGAAATAGCCCGCATTTTTCTGTTTGCGCGGTAGCCATCCATGTTGCCGCTTCCTTACGTGTTCATGTATCCAGTTGGGTGGCTCCATACGTCAAGCATGCTGCACAAGTCTTGAGTCTAGTACGACAAGTTCTTGAGCCAGTACATCTTCTGAGGGGTACTTTTGTTTTCCTCTGCGGCTTCGTATTCCGAATGCGAGCTTCTATTTGGCAGCGTTTGGCTGCTACAGGCGTCAACTTGCCTCACTCGTTTGTTCTTCCAGAGGTCAGGCAGCCCCTGACTATGTCCATATACGCATTTGTTAATCACAAGCTGACATTACCAGCCGCGGCTTTTCGATACCGCACCTATCGACGGCAGCAGGGGCAGAGATCAACCGTGAACGCCTTGTCGACCAATAGCGCTGGCAACAACGGGACCGCCCCTGTCCCCAGCACCCCCCCCCGGTCCCCCCTGGTCCCCAGGACCGCCCCCCGAGTCCCTGGGACCCCTCCCGGTCCCAGACCCCCCCCCCGCTT